ACATAAGCGCTTCTACAAAGAAGCAGTTTGTCGTTTGGATGTCGCATTTAAAAGTGCTTTTACACTACATAAAAGCGCTTTTGATATTTTGTTGAGTGTTTGGCTGACACAGTAAAAGCGCTTTTAAAAGTACTTTAAAAAAATTTAAAGAATCGTAGGAAGATAGCATAAGGGAAATCGTGTTACAGAAAAAGCTAGGTGAAAAGATTATAGAAGATGATGGTGATGAGTTGCATTTCATTGCGTTTGAACAGTCTCCATTTTGTGAGTAAGAAGAAAGTCTCCATTTTGGTGATGATGTGGTTAATTTGGGGTTGTTACTTCAATATCCATCTTTACAAAATAACAGTAGGGATATGAAGAATTTTTACAAGGAAAATGGCGTAGAAAAAGGAGAAAGCAAATTTAGAGGAGACTTGCTAATGTGATAGAGAAACAACTACGGGAAGATTAAAGGGTAGTGTTTTGGTTTTAATAGGAGAGACAAAGAGATAGAAAAAAAAATAAAGAAAGGGAATTTTTGATATTTAAAAAAATTAAATATGGGTATTTTTGGCATTTTAAAAGTTTCATTAAAGGGAGCCAAGTGCTTCCCTTGTTTTTGTCCTGCAGCGCTTTTAACAAGAAGCACTTGAAGTGCTTCTTCCAAAACCACTCCAAGTGCTTTTGGATCTCACCCAAAGCGCTTTTGCAATTTTTGCCAAACACCATTTTTAAAAGACAGAACCGCTTTCACCCATTTAGAAGCGCTTTTTGATGCTCCAAAAGCACTCCCAAACGAGCCCTAAATAAATAAAAGAAAAGGTCATATTGAAAATTTAACGATATAGCTTGAGAGCATACTACTATGAGAAAATGTTGATTATCTTACTAAATATAAACAATGATTAATAGTTTTAATAAACATAATTAAGTTCGGTCGTGTTGTCATAAACTATGTTCAACGAACATTTATGTTTGAGATAATCTAATCAAGTCTCATTTATGAAATCAAATGGAAATTCGAAGCGAAATTAAAGTGAAAATTGTTGAAATATTATCATTGAAGATAATCATTTTATTAAACTTCCTCATATCATTGGTTACATTACATCAAAATAAATAAATAAATAAAATCATAAGAACACCCAATAAACCAAAACACCATTGCATAAGAAAGTGTTTTAGCATAAGCCTTTAGTTGTTTTTTGCACGGAATATGATTTGATTTGTTTAAATATGGATAAAATAAGAATCATGTGATGAGGCTCGAGCTCACTTTTCCATTAAAGAGACATCAAACAACTTAATGAAGAGTTTAAATCAAATGCAAAAGTTGCAAGCAAGGTTTTTCGAATATTTAGCAAAAGCAAGTACACATTTTACATATAACAAAATTAAATAAGCCAATCAATTAGGGCAATGAGTCCCGATCCTCTTTTCTCTCTTCAGGGGATGTATTTAATTAGGATTCTATAAAATTTTAAAAGACTTTAATAATCTGGATATATTTAATTTAGGTTTTTACAAACTCTTTAAAAAGTCTATAAAACTTTGGGTGTATTTAATCTATACTTGTTTGAATCTGAATTTTTAGACTCCCACTTATCAAAAAATGTTAAAAGTTCTTAAACAACGTGTACTGTATGTATACCGTATATTTTCCATTACCTCACAACTTTCGTAGTACGCTATCCTAATATCAAGGGTCCGTTAATCGTCGTCGTTTAGTCAAATCCATCTGAAAGAGACTATAATAAAAATAAATTATTTATTGTTATTATTACCTCAGAGTTGGGTGGGTGTTGGGGAAAGTAAAGTAAACCAGGCTGAACTGGTAAATCTGGCAGCTCAGACTCTGCAAATTGGACTCCCTCTCTCCCTAGATTCTCCACATCTTCTCTAGGGTTTTCAAATTTGAACATCTCCCTCACGCTTTCCCACGAAACACACAGAAAAGAAGGAAAGAATTGGAAAACAAAAACCAACAACAACAGAGGAACAAGGACTAAAAATGACCAAGCTCCCCAAGTGTAATCCTTTACTTCAACTCTGGAACAAAGACAATCTGAAGCCCTAGACCTCAAATTCCAACAGCACAATGCTTGATATTGGACACTGACGAAAGGATCTATTTCTTTCTTTACCTGGAGAGTTAAAAACCCTAGCTTTTGACACACTGTTGGAGATGGAGAGGTCTAGATCTAAGAGGTACTACTATGACCAAGACTACGATACAGAGACTGTCGGTAGGACGAGGCCTCGGTACAACCACCACTACGCGACCAACAACCACCGCCACCGAGGCAGCGGCGGAGGCGGCGGCGGTGGTGGTGGTGGTGGTGGTGGGCGACCCTCTAAGCCTCAACAGGACCCATCAATTACGGTAACAACGACATACCGTATTCTTTGCCACGACATGAAAGCCGGAGGCGTGATCGGCAAGTCCGGTAGCATCATTAAGTCGATTCGGCAACACACCGGTGCGTGGATCAACGTGCATGAACTGATCCCCGGCGACGAGGAGCGGATTATTGAGATTTCCGACACGCGCCGGCGGGATCCGGAGGGCCGGATGCCGGCATTCTCTCCGGCACAAGAAGCCCTGTTTTTGATCCATGAGAGGATTCTGGAGAGTGATGTGGCTGGGTTTGGTGGTGGAGAGGACGAGGATGAGTATGGCGGTGGTGTTAGAGGAGGAGGAGGAGGAGGAGGTGGGGGTGGTGGTGGGACCCGAGTGGCTACGCGGCTGGTCGTGTCGAGAATGCATGTGGGGTCTTTGCTTGGCAAGGGAGGCAAGATAATTGAGCAAATGAGGGTTGAGACCAAGACCCAGATTAGGGTTTTGCCTAGAGATCACAATCTGCCTCGCTGTGTTTCCATGTCTGAGGAGATTGTTCAGGTTTTGGAACTTACAGCTTTAACTGCATCTGATTCCTATGTTGCATGTCACAAATTGCTGAGCTTTCAGTTCCATTCCATTATTGGTTAGATTGGAATGCCAGAAACTTTGGTTTCCTGTTAAGTTAACTAATAACTGCAAAATGTATATAATATATACTCTGAGGACCCTCATTTTAAAAATTTATCTCCGGACCAAAAATAAGGACAGTTGTTGGCAGCTTATATCACTGTCAGCTGGAGTGGATTTGGCCGAATGCTGGAGTACTATGATGTTTATCGAATTGGTTTAGGTTTTTGTTCCATATTGGTGATAGTGTTTTCTCAAAAAAATTTCAGCTTTCAGTTGCATCTTTGTTGGGCACTAATGCGTGGGAGTATTATGCAGTAAATGGTTCACACTGATCTTTTAAGCTAGTACACTGGGAAGCATATGGTGTCAATACACCATCTAAAGATTTATGTGAAATTGTCCTTTTCCTTTTCCCCCTCATCAACATGATTTGAAATAAGGGAATTATCAATCTTATGATTTTGCATTTCTGCTGCAGGTAGTAGGTGAAGCGAATTGTGTTAAGAATGCTGTAGCAACTATTTCATCACGCTTGAGGGAGAGTCAGCATCGGGACCGCAGTCATTTCCAGGGACGATTACACTCACCAGAACGGTTCTTTCCTCCTGACGATGATTATATTCCTCATATGAACAATACATCACGAAAGTCACCCATGGATGGGGCTGCTTTTGGAGCACGATTACCTTCCAATATCAGAAACAACAACTATGCCTCCCGTTCATCTGGTTTTAACATTGAAACTGGGTCTGCTCCCATGATCGATAATGTGCAGCCCTTTTATGGCGAAGACCTTGTGTTTCGAATACTTTGTCCTATTGACAAAGTTGATCTTGTCGTCGGAGATTCTGATGGAATTATTGAATTGCTTCAAAATGAAATTGGTGTGGATGTCAAAGCTACTGACCCTGTGGCTGGTGCAGATGAACAGATAATCATCATCTCTTCAGAGGAGGTATTTTACAATTTTCTGTAGTTAATCTCGGTATATACTAATATAAGTATTCGACTCATAAAGTGTAAATTTGAAGTGATGATGCACTCGAATTGCCGATGGCACTGTTAAAATAATCTAGGCATGTGCATGTATGCATGAGGGGAATCGTAAATGTTGTGATGATTGGCTTTTTAAAATGATATGCTTCCCCCTTCTCTCTTTTTCTCGAATGGTTTTGACCATGTTATGCGTGTACATAGGGTCCCGATGACGAGCTATTTCCAGCTCAGGAAGCTTTGTTGCATATCCAAACTCGCATTGTCGATCTTATTCCAGACAAAGACAACATTATCACTACTAGGCTACTTATCCCAACTAGTGATATTGGATGCTTAGAGGGAAGAGATGGGTTGTTATCAGATATGAGGCGACTTACTGGTGCAAATATACAAATTCTGCCCAGAGAAGAACTTCCTGTGTGCGTATCAGGGGATGATGTGATTGTACAGGTTTGTCACATGTTTGTTGCACACCTTTCTTCTCATTATCTGAGAGACTTGCTTGGCAGTTTTATTTTTGGTTGAATGCCTTCTTAGCGGACTTAAAAAATGACGATGAGTTCTTAAATTTTGAAGCATCACATTATGGCTCCTTTTTAAGTGGAGCTTGTATCTTTAGATTTAGGATGATCATGGACCGTTCTATGTGAACAATCCACTGGAACAGATCAAAGGTCTGCTCATCTAATTATGCATTTTGACTAGAATATTTTGTGAATGCATGCTTTTTTCCCTTGTCTGTGTATTTGAATTGCATCTACGTTTTTCACTGTCATTTATCAGATGAACTGTTTTTAACAAAAAGATAAAAGAAAGGGCCAAAAACATTTGTCCCCAAGGTTACAAAGGCCTGGACCACCTGGTTGACAGGATGAGTTGTACTTGAGGAAATTCTGAATGGCTCCTACATGTCATCTACAGATCGTAGGGGAAATAAAAGCAGCTCGAGATGCTCTTGTTGAGCTGACATCAAGAATACGGAGTTACTTATATAGGGAGTTGTTTCGAAAGGATACAACACCACCTGTTTCTGCATCAGCTTTGGAGATATCTCCCAATAACACAATTCCACTTCGTGAAGCTCATACTGGAAATAATCCTCCTATGACAACCTATCAGAATTTGGCAACTGGGGCAATCGCACTGGCATCAAAGGTTGTCCTTTCTATCTTTGGCTGGTTAAGAAATGCTCATTTTCTGTCATTTTTACTGTTTCTTCTTTCTCCTCAGATATTTTGTTCTCTTCAATATCCATTAGATGGTTGTACTTGTGTTTATCATTATTTCATTTATCTGCAATTTGGGGAACTGGAGTCAGAGTGACTAGTTGTGAGAGTTATTTGAGCGAACAAGAAATGTTGTGCCAGAAGGTGGAGAAAAGCATTTTAGAAGTGGCTTTTTCTTGAGAGTTTAGCTGACTATGTTCAGGCTACCTTGATATGATTTTAAACTGGAGGCACATTGTTTCACATACATCTCGTTTTTGTGTTATAAGATTTTCACTCTCGTATTGTAGGATACTGGAGGGATTTCCAGTGAATCGGTAAAGCCAAACGAAAGTGAACGGCGTGAAGATGTTCTGAGTGCATTGAATAGGTAGCAAATTTCTTCTTCGTTTTACTATTATTGCCTCATATAAATCATAGTCTCATTTTACTCTCTCTCTCTCTCTCTCTCTCTCTCTCTCTCTCTCTCTCTCTCTCTCTCTCTCTCTCTCTCTCTCTCTCTCTCTCTCTCTCTCTCTCTCTCTCTCTCTCTCTCTCTCTCTCTCTCTCTCTCTCTCTCTCTCTCTCTCTCTCTCTCTCTCTCTCTCTCTCTCTCTCTCTCTCTCTCTCTCTCTCAGTACACTCGAAGTTGTAATACCAGAGCAGGCAGTTTCAAAGCTCATAACGAAATCAAGAAACAAGCTTGCTCAGATCAGTGAGGTCAGCCTGATGAGCTCTTAGTAATTTCCCTTCTTTATTTTCCAAGTTTAGCTTTGATTAATTGTCTTTTTGAGTGGAACAGTTATCAGGAGCCAATGTGACCCTGGTAGAGGATAGACCAGAGGAAACACAAAAGATCATTCAAATTTCAGGTACTCCAGAGCAGGCTGAGAGAGCTCAGAGCTTGCTCCAGGGCTTTATTTTAAGCAGTAAGTCTCTCTTTCGCTTTCTTCCATGTCTGACTTTATAATTTTCTGGTCTCCCACCCTGTAATTTGACTCTTCATCCTCCTTTACTTTGAATCAGCACAAGAAGACGGCCCTTAAACGAGCAGGAGCAACATCTGTACTAAAATTTTGAGCTGGTCTTGCCGGGATATTGTTGTTCAGATCATTTCTTGATGTATTATCCTGTAAGGCAAGGGAGTTTTTGCTCCATAGTTTAGGCACATCGGTTTATATGAATGCATCCACTACCACTGTAATTTGTAAATGTAATATCTGAAGGAGTTTTAGCTTTAGTTGTCTGCGAATCTGGGAAGTGCGAACACAATCCAGTGACAATTATGTTTTGTGTATTTTGTGTCGATGATCAATGATCATGTCTCCACTTGTTTCCTTTTGCGGTTATTTGACCCAATTTATTTGGACAAATCGATCTCATTGCCACTACTGGTGAACTCGCAAAATCTCATTGCACTTTAAACACCAAGCACACCTTGTGAATTAGTCTATTCTGAACGTAATTATGTGATTGCGACCACTCACCAAATGCATTAAAGAGCATTTATCTTTACACCCGAAGTTTTAGATTCAATTTCTCCTCAATATTGCTTGTATAAAAAAGAAAAAATGATACTGTTGTTATTTGACCAAAATTCGTAAGATACAAATACCAACTCCTAACCCAAGTTCGTATCTGTTTTCTGCATACAATATGGTAAACAAAACATTTTTCCCTAAGCACAGTTTGACATTTTAACTCTTCATTTTTGTACTGGCATTAGAAATTAGAAATTAGAAATTATATTTATTTATTTATTTATTTTACTCAAAGAAATCAATTTCTATTCAATATAGCAAGGTATAAGTGCCAAACTACAGGACCAAAAGTGACTTTTTGCCTATTTAATATAGCAAGGTATATTTTGCTTTCAGGGGGTGTTTTAGATATTTGCTTTAAACCCCTGATTCTGAATTCCCTTTCGGCCTTCCTTCCAATTTTCACTCTTCCACTGTGACTTTCAGCCCCGTCACAGAAAACCCTAAACCCCTATCTCTCTCTCTTCTCGCCACAGTCGTTCTCGCAATAGCTTGCTAATCGACTGTCACAGCTGGTACGTCTTCTTCTTCTTCTTCTTCTTCTTCTTCTTCAGTACAAAAAAAGCTGATCGGTTTGTACCTTTTCATCACCATGAAATTAATTACGCATCTGTGTTTGGTTGCTGAGAAACCGAGGAAAGGAAAACAATTCCTGAATGGAAAACCGAAACCACGTTCCGTATATCGTTATCTAGTTTGATTTTGTCATCGATATCTTTTCTGATTAAATGTTTTGGCGTAGGTTAGAAGAAGCTTTGTCGATGGCTTACTTAAGAAATGGCAGAAATGTCATCCGTCAAATCATTAAAGACACCAACATCCATAGCTCCGACTCGGATCGCATGATAAATCCTCTGCTCTATGCTTGTCAAGGAGTTAGGTACAGAAAGTTGGAGGTCATTCTAACAACGGTGCGCATTTCTCCTCGAACTCAATCATTAGGGTTGGCGTTTAGTTAGTGAATTGATTGATTGATTGGTTAACAATTTATTTGACGCATTCAGAGCGTAGAAAAGCTTGGCAAAGCCGGCCAGACAGTGAAGGTTGCGCCCGGACATTTTCGCAACCACTTGATGCCCAAGTTGCTTGCTGTCCCAAACATTGATAAGTATGCTTATCTCATCAAACAGCAGCGGAAGGTTCTTTACTTTGTCCTCCATGGATTACGTTATCAATGTTCGTCTATTGCCTATTATTTTGTTAAATTTTGTTATGCTTGTCACAAATATATTTCAGAATTGCCTGCTTCAAGAAGAAGAAGAGGAAGAGGAGGAGGTTAAAGTAGTTACTGTGTCTGAGGAAGCTAAGCAGAGGGAATATCAGAAGGCAGCAAAAATTCTGGACAATGCTCGTCTGGTTCGTAGCCTATCTGTTAAGATTTTAATTGCTGATTGAAGCGTATGTCTTTTGCATTATTTGTTGTACAAGACAGATATAAGCCCATTTATGTTCATAAACGTGGTTAGTTTTTGATGTACTAATAGAATGCTGGGTTAAAAGTTAAATGTCATATATGGATGTTGTTAGAAGTACGAACTGAAATTCCATCAGATTTGAAAGGTGTTGGCTATTTGAGTGTTGGTCAGATTGATTTCTTAATCTAGCTAATTCTCTTCCAGGAGAGAAATGTGATGCCAACTTTCAGAAAGCTGATTGAATCTCTGATGCATACAAGAACTAAAATGTTTTGCTTTACATGTATGGGGCAGCTGAACTTTGTAAACTTTTACAGGTACTAAGGAGGTCCATCAATCTTGAAAAGTTCCGTACACGTGCAACGAAAGAAGACGCTATAGAATTGAAATCCCCTGTGACAACGGAAGATCTTGTGGCTGAGGTGTGGTTATGTTCTTCATGGTTTCTAGCTTTATCCTTGTAAATATCAGAAAAATGGCCAATCTTTTTCTAGTCAAAATATTTCCTTTGATTTGTTTTTCCTTTTTAGCTGATACATTCTCTATGTTGGTTTAGGTGGCAAGGCAGCTTTGTGTGCACATTCTACCCGAAAACGTGCATCTCCCATCTCCTTTGTTAACTGTGGGAGAGTATGAGGTGCCTTTGCGTCTTCCGAAGTCCATCCCTTTGCCGGCGGGGAAGATTCAATGGACTCTTAATGTTAAAATCCGTACTGCATAAACACTGGTCGTTTCAAGTTGATTCTCTCATAATGTCGTGAGGTTCCGGTTTACGTGGTATAATTGTTGTATTGCCTGATGTACTTTGGAATTGAAGTCATTCCTATAGTAACCCCTGGTTTAAGTACTTAGTTTCTGGTTTCAACAATTTCGATGACAAAACCTGGCGGGTCAATGGGTGCAACTATTTTGGGTTTGATAGACATTGATTGCATTGATTTTAAATCTGCCTGGGCAGAGCCTGCATACACGTTATTAGGCAGGTTTATGGACCTGCTAAACGTTATTGGGCCGATTTATGGGCCTGCTTAGACGTATTGGGATGTTATCTTGGCCCATTTGCATATTATTGGGCCAACTTAAGAGATTGTAGACACGTTATTGGGTTGACCCTTCTGGCCTGTTTCACCTTATTGGGCCATCTTATGGGCCGTAGACAAGTTATTGGGCTGCCTTCTTGGGCCTTGAGAAACATTATTGAGCCGTTGTCTGGGCCATTTTATGGGCCTACAAACAAGTTATTGGGCCGGATTATGGGCATGCACAAACGTTATTGGGCCGACATTTTGGGCTTGTTTAACGTTATTGGGCTGGCTTATGGGCCTGCATACTCGTTATTGGGCCAACTTATGGGCCTGTATACACGTTATTGGGCCAAATTATGGGCCTGTATACAAATTATTGGGCTGCATACACGTTATTGGGCTTACCTTTTGGGCCTGTTTTACGTTATTGGGCCGGTTTATGGGACTGCACGTTATTGGGCCGAATTTTTGGGCCTGCATACCTTATTATTGGGCCTTTTTCCTGGGCCCATTTTCACTTTATTGGGCCAACTTATGGGCCTGCATGACATTATTGGGCCTGCATACACGTTATTGGACCGACCTTTTAGGCCTGTTTATAGGTCGGCTTATGGGCCTGCGTACACGTTATTGGGCCGACTTTTGGGATGTATACACATTATTGGGCCGACTTTTTTGGGCTTGAACACACAAATTGGGCCAAATTTTTGGGCCTGCATACACATGATTGGGCAGTTATTTGGGCCCATTTTCAAGTCATTGGGGTCAAGTAATGGGCCTGCATACACGTTATTGGAGCCAACTTATGGGCTGCACTTTATTGGGCCAGCCTTTTGGGTTTGCATACACGTTATTGGGCCCACTTCACGCTCTTGGCCCGTTGTTTGGGCCTGCTTACACATTATTGGGCCAAGTTTTAGGGCTGACGACACAATATTGGGCCTGTTTGACGTTACGATGCCGCCTTATGGGCCAGCTCACACATTATTAGGTCGGTGTTTTGGGCCTGTTTCACGTTATTTAGCCAACTTATAGCATTGATAGACGTTATTGGCCTGTTTCACGTTACTGAGCCGACTTATGGGCATGCATTGACGTTATTGGGCCTGTTTCATGTTATAATGCCGACTTATGGGCTTATACGTTGTTGGGCTGTCTTTTGGGCCGGCTTACAAGTTACTGGGCCGACTTTCCGGGTTTTTCCCGATTGGGATTATTAATGTCGTTTGCAGAGCAATTTCAACTCTAGGTCCAATTGTACAGTGTTGTACCCATTGTATGGGATGTTGACCTTTGACTACTTATTGTGTGTTTGCTGAATTTATTTTTACCAAAATTTCAATACACATTTAGACCGATTAATCCAAGAATAATCATGCATTGGGCATACACGCTCAGGGCTGACATTCGATAGAGGCAGGTAATTCGATAGTGTGAAGGGCAAAAGTCCAAGCATACCTGTTGGATAATTATTCTCTGATTAGAGTACATTAAGTGGAATTGCGATTATATATAACCTGTTGCTAATATATCTATATATATAAAGCAAAAAGCAGAGAATGGTGAAACATTCAAAATACCAGAAAATGCCCTTGGTTAATGCAAACATTAAGAATTGAAATTATTAATTAAATGAGGATAATATGGTAAATCCACACTTTTTCATATTTAAAAAAATTTAAAATTAAAAGAAAAATCAGATAATGGATCATCTTTTTATGGAACACAACTACTCTTTTAAGAATACATAAAAGAGAAGTACCCAATAGAATAAAAAAAACATTTAAAACGGGTAGAAGAGACTAGAGAGGACACTTTTTTCGCACAGTTCTTGTTTATCAGCACCTAATTAAGGAATAGTTTAAACACATTCCCCTAGCACTGAAAACTTCCTTTGCTTTCTTACTTTATAGGAGGGATTATCAATTACATGAACGCTCACCAAATATTTACCAATAGAAAAGAAAAAAGCAAAAACATAGAATCTGGACTGGACAGACAACTAGAATCTTTGTCAAACCTATAACATCAAGGATGATAACTGTATTTAACAGATGCAGAACAGGAATCACACTGTTAATTAAGAATAAAAACAGGATACTCCACCAGGAAAGAAATGAGCAGATTCCAATTAATTTAGAATAAAATTATGTGAACTTACTTGTTATCCGCTACGACGTGTAACTAGTTTTGTGAATCCCAACTCCTTGTACATTCAATCTGCATTTGGATTCAGAAAGGCTATTATGAACAAGACCAGTTAATGTAGAACCAGCTGCCTTCATAACCAAAGAGAGTAACATGTCATGCATAATGTTCACGTGTAGGACACTGCTAGCCCAAGGAGTTTGCTTGGGTCCAAAAACCTACTTATGCCAAACCGTTAACCTAGAGAGTTTGTGCTGGCTGAATTGCGGCCTTAATTACATTCTGTTGGGGGACAAAGATCCCAATGGAACAGAAGAACAAGTTACTGGATATCCAAGGAAATTACACAAAACTCAAAAATCAAAAAACACCTAAAGAAATTAAAAGAATACATCAGCAATTCAAATACGATCTAAATAGAAGAAAAGAGAATGTACAACAGTTGAAAAAACGATGGAACATCTGGGATTGCACTTTTATATCAGAGCAGAACATTAGCGAATGATTTAGTGTGAGGACAGATTTACTCGCAAAAGATCCAACTAGAATTATAGGTTCCACAGAGTAGCTGATGACAGCATTTACAATGAGATAACTTATCATATTAATATTTATCTATACCAACTAAAAAAATATAAAACATCAAACATGTAATATAAATAACAAAAAATTCATAGGAACAATTTCTTAATTTAAAATACAACATGAGGAAAACTCAAGTGAAGAGTATTTGGTGAGAAAATGACCAACCTAAATGTTTAAGAATGGAAGATATCTCATTATCACATTTTTATGTTTAGTAAAAGTACAATCACATTGAAAAGCCAATATAAAATTATACTGGTGTTTAACAATGAGATGTAATTGCAGTTATGATGAGATATGATAGCATATTAAGATTTATGTATACCTAACATTATTAATATCTGCACTTGACCGCGTCAGCCATTGACCACTCCAGAACTGAAGTTGGCGGTTATGCAACTTTCTAGGATTCCTATGATAATGAACGGTACCTGCATACCCTCCTCTTTGCTCTCAGGTAATCGCTTCTCCACCATGTCAGGAGCACCAGTAGCCATCTACCAGAGATTGGCTGCAGATCATGATGTTACCATGGTCTCCTGACATAGTGAAGGAGTGATTACCTGAAAGCAGCGGGGAGGGAAGGGGAGCCAGATAGCGTTCATAATCATAGGAACCCAAAAGAAAACTAACCGTCTGCCCAAAAAAATGCATAGAAATCTGAGCAAAACATGCTATCAAACTGTTCAGTCAGAAGAACGATTAAGGGGGTGCATGCTATTGAAAATATATCTGATGCAATCCCACGACATTGGCACTCATTAACAAATATGAAGGAACAAACAGGTTATGGAGCTGAGCTTGAAAAAGATGTGGGGTTAAAGCTATGCTATATCCTACCACAGCAATCCATCACACGATTGGCACTAGAACAGGACAGTAAAATACTACTGCTGAGATTTAAAATATGGCCATGAGTACAACACAAAAAGAAGGTAGCAAAATAACGGTACTCCTTATAGCACAAACAAAAAATAAACCTCCTCCTCAATGTCGGAACAAACATTAATCAGAAGTTCATGCGTGGCATGAAAAGTTTTTAAGAATCAAACATATTTTGCAAAAATACTATGGGGCCATAGAGGTAAACTAACAAAAGGTAAATTTGAGGGAACATGAGCAAATGCATAATAAAAAAGATGATGTCTCTGCAACAAAGCAAATTTTCTTTATATAACTTTACTATGCAATCACTGCACTATAGTTGTGATAGTAAATAGAAAATTAAGAAGCAAGACCTGATTTATGCAAAGCTCCAATAAGAATGCCACCATCTCTTGCAGCTTCAGAAGCGGAAATGAGGCAGCCATACCTAAATGCTATGTAAAGAGGACACGAGGATATGTCAAAATTAATCTAAGATACACCAAAAATAATTACCCTCACGTCAACGGAAATCGAAGAATTCAAACCCAAGGGTTTGAAGAGTCCGAATTCTTCGATTTGAGGAGACGTCAAAATAAATCTAAGATACACCCTACATTATTACCTTCGAGTCAAAGGAAATCAAATAATTCAAACCCTAGGGTTGGAAGGGTAGGAATTCATCGAGTTGAAGAAACGTCAGTATCTACGAAACACCCTAAATAATTACCCTCAAGTCAAAAGAAATCGAAGAATAAACCCTAAATTACCTTCAGCTGCCGCCATCAGGATTCAGAACCACCGCTTACTAGCTGCCGTTCCAGTCACGATCTCGCGACGGGACCGAGCCTCCTCGTTAGTAATAAGGGTTGTAAAGTGAGAGTCGATCATCTTTGATTCAATGATCTCACACACCGACGAAGCGTCGTTACGATCTCTCCGAGGGATAGAGATCTGAAGGGATCTGGGGATTTTCATTTTTAGCGAGAAGAGTGGGACTGTGGGAAAAAAGGGAGAGCGCGAATAGATTTTGTTTGAAAGGTCTAATTTCTGTTCTTGGCAAATACACGGAAAACAAATACTTCGGGGTATAATTGTAAATAATAAATAAAATAACATTTGTAGAGCTAAAGCTTGAACCGACCCAGTCACCCGACCCAAACCCGGATCGTTGAGTTGACCCACTCACATCACCGACCGCCATTCTCCTTATCTTTACCGCTTTGGCAGCTTGGGTTATCTTTCGGTTTTCACTCTTCTGCAACTCCTCCTCTTACTCCATTGGCATTTGGCAGCTTGGGTTATCTTTCGGTTTTCACTCTTCTGCAACTCCTCCTCTTACTCCAATGGCAGCTTCCCTTCTTCTCCCTTCTCCCTTTTTCAACACCTACGGGTAATCTCTCTAGTCTCTATCTCTCTGTCTTCAGATTCTCAATGTTGTTGTTGCACATACCACATATATAATTTCAGTTTTAATTGTATTGAATTATGATTCTGCTGGTTTTGATTCACCAAGGATGGATTTTTAGAAAATCATTGCCCAATTTTTTGAACAGGGATTTTTTATGTAGTTGAATTTGTTGGGTTAGTGCGCTCTCATGATCTTGCTTGAACCATTCAGGATGAGCAAGGTGTGCTTACATCACATCCAGTCGGGCCATTTTCACAAAGGCCTCACTTGCTTCTCTGGCTGTCTCCCAAAAAAGAATTCTAGCATTTTCATGGTTCCTGTTAGAGCCTTTGCCCTCTGCTGCTATGCCTCCAGAACTTTTGCTTCTGTTGGCTCATTAGATACGGATGAGGCAAGCCAAAAAAGTCATGTTTCAAATTCAAATAACTTTCAGAGGTGCAGCTATTTCCTTTTCATTTCTATTGTTTTTGGCTAAGTTTCACCATAAAATAATAAGTTACTGACTGCCCAACTTTTATGATTAGCAGGTCTGTTACTTCTTTTCAGAATTCAAGTGACAAATTGGATGGGATGAAAGATTTTGAGAGAGAACTGCAAGAGTTATTTGATGAAGTCAAAATGATGATTATGATGGGGAACCAAAATGATGCCATAGACCTACTTCAAGCCAATTATGAGGCGGTGAAGGAAAGGATGAATGCCCGTGTTAGAGGCATTGAAGAAGCTGCTACCATTGACATCATAGCTCTAGGATACATGGCTATTGGTGACTTAAAATTTGTTGATTCCCTACTGGATATGGTAATTTCTTTTTTCCTTCTATGGGGAAGGCATATATTCCTTTGAAGGGCGTGTATAGTTTTTCTCCCCCATTTCCTTCTGTAAGCTGTTATTCCTCTCCTTTTTGTTGGTGCATTTTACTGGGTGGCCAGTTGAATGAAGTTGTTGACAGTCTAAAGGATGATGAACCGCTTCTGGATTCAGTTCTCGTGCATATGGGAAGTATGTATTCAACTTTGGGGAAGTTTGAGAAATCAATGTCTGCATATAGGAGGGCTATTGGTAACATGGAGAACATTTATGGTAAGCTCTCTTGTCAAGTTGGAGCCTTTTCGCTACTCATAAACTAGTTGGCTGTTTCCAGATGGTTTTATATGACTTTTGTGGTGAATGATACTAGATGGCTAAATGACTCGATCTCCTTAAACACATTATAATAAAGTCATGATATATGTGATTTTGCATGATGAACTGAAGGATCTCTTTCTTACAGTAATATTCAATAGAACTTAGTATAGTATGAATCCATTGTAGCTTCACTTATTGTTGTATGCGAGATTTGAGGTTTTCTATCTTTATTCAATGGTTATTGCCATCTTGTCTTCAGGGAAAAATAGTGTCTTTCTTATCACACCAATTTTGGGCATGGCAAAAGTTCTCAGCTCCATTGGAAGAACTTCAAAAGCAGTAGAATTCTACCATCGTGCAATAAGTCTTCTAGAATCAAGTAGAGGTGCTGAAAGTGAGGATATGGTCATACCTTTATTTGGTGTTGGCAGTCTTTTACTCAAAGAAGGAAAGCCTGTTGAGGCAGAAACTCCTTTTCTAAGGTTTAATTGCTTTCCCCCTTTTTGTAGAATGGCTTACTTTGCTTCCTTGTGCACTGACTGAATCTTAGCAGGTTTAGTTCATTCTTTCTCGTCCTTTTGTAGAATTTTTAACATATACAAGAAGTTATATGGAGAGAATGATGGAAGAGTTGGATTGGCCATGTGTTCTCTGGCACACGTGAAGTGTGCAGTGGGTAATCATGCAATATCTCTCTCTCTCTCTCTCTCACTGTGAATAGCTTCTCAGTTTCACGTATGGGTTCATATGCTCTAATTTGCTGCAGGAGATGCAAATGAAGCCATCTCTTTATATAGAAAAGCTCTCCAGGTCATCACAACTTCCAACTATATGGCTTTAGATGACAGCATAATGGAGAAGATGAGGATAGATTTGGCAGAGTTACTTCATGCTGTTGGAAGGTACAGTTAAATTCAATATTGTTATTGGAAGTTTGGATGTTAATTTCCTATATTTCCAAATTTCATAATAGTTGTGGTTGTTTAGTGATGTTCTTTACTGATTGGTACACTTGGTAGATGTTCTTAATTATCTTCTCAGAAGTATCCTCATCTTTCTACTTCTTACATTGTAAGTTTCTGCTGACGTGAAATTAAAAAACAAGAGCCTACGGCCTACAGTTGCTCCTTTCTCTTTTAGCATATTAATTTGGATGCTTGCAGAGGGAAGGAAGGCCGAGAGCTACTGGAGCAATGTTTGATGATCACTGAGAAATATAAAGGTAAAGAAGACCCCAGCTCAGCAACACATCTTATTAATCTTGCAACGTCCCATTCGAGGTCGAAGAATTATGTGGAGGCTGAGCGCTTGCTGAGGACAAGTTTGGAGATCATGGGAAAGACAGTGGGGCCTGATGATCAATCCATCACATTCCCAATGCTGCACCTTGCCGTTACTCTCTACCATTTAAAGCGGGATGAAGAAGCTGAACAGCTTGCCCTGGAGGCTTTGCACATCCGTGAAAAAGCATTTGGAAAAGATACCCTTCCTGTTGGTATGTTGTTGTTTTCTTTATGGTCAAGTAAATGACAGGATCATTTGGTCCTCATCTGATGTGTTATGGTGATGTATTTCGCAGCGGAGGCTCTCGACTGTTTGGTGTCAATCCAAACTAGATTGATGAAGGATGATGAAGAGTTGCTGGAGCAGCTAAAGAGGGTTTTGAGCATCCAAGAGAAAGAGTTTGGCCCCGAGGGTGGGGAGGTTATGATAACCCTGAAAAAAGTTGTATTCTACTTGGACAAACTAGGGAGGAAAAACGAAATTTTCCCTTTGCAGAAAAGATTGTCTGCACTTCGAATGAAATTCAAGCAACGGATTCAACATTAACAACAATACTTGTGTTTATTCTGCGCTTGATTATTTTTTAAATACAAATTTTTATATTTCAAACGATGTCGTTTTGCGATAATTATGGAGTGCATCGTTCATTTAAAGTCAACGACAATAATTACGGTGTTGATTATGAGTTACGACAATAAGTGGAAGACACCACTCTAGTCTAGGCACCGGACCAGACGACGTAGAGTAAACAACAACAACACGTATTTTAAAATGACATGTAATATATATTGGGTTCAACTTTCGTCCTAAAATACGTACAAGTTACAGTTGGAGAATGATGTGAGATCTTTTGTTTATGTCTATTTCAGAAAAATAAAAAAACTCGGTGGGCGTTGGTTGGCCCCATATTTGTAAATTGCCAATTTGCTAAGAAACATTTCAAAGTGACACTTGACAAGTGTCACATATATATCCCTATCAAACGAATGGGATGGGATGCGGTATTGCAATTGCACATCCAATTACGGCAACGAAGATGTATTTTCCCACCAAAAATAAGGCCTGGCCTGGTACACTCTCTACATTGAGGTACAACCTCTTTAGCACAACGTACTACTTCATTCAGCACATAAAAAAGTGTCACCCAAAGTTCGCAGCCTTCGCCGGATAGAAACAGAAAAAGGTTTAACTTCCAATTGGTCTTTTGGATATTTTACACTTCAAATCAACCAGATATCACCGCTTGCATTATTATAGCAATCAACGGTGATGTAGGAGCCAATAAAGAAGGAGGTCTCTGTGTCTGTGTCTGCGTCTTTGGATCTCAAAACAGATGCAAAATCCAGAGTACCCGCCTCCCTTTGAAGGTAGTTTTCTCTTTCTTTTCAGATTTTACAGATTCTGTTCAATACTTTGGGGTGTTAATGCTTGAATCATGATTTTTTATTGACATGGAATATGCTCATATTTGTTTGTTGGTCAATCAGTGTTTGATGTATGTTATGACGTGATTGTTTATATGCTATTGAATCTTTCAACCGTAAAAGCTTCTTTTTTTATAGCATCTATTGGGAGAAGATGGTGAAACTGGTTGAGATTTTTTCTTCTTTCTCGTTGATTTCTCAATTTCGTGGCATGATTTGAGTTGGGTATTGCTTTAATTGTGTCAATATTTCAGTTTTTTCAAAATTTAAAGGTTCTGTGGGAGTCTTGAGACGTATTTCAGTTATTTGAAGCGCTGTCTGGGACCAATTGTCAGTTTGTAGAACGTGGAACTTGATTTTAGATATTCAACTATTACAGATTGAGTATGAACTGACTTGGTATTTATAGATTTTGATTAGCTCTTCTGTGTTTGTATCATACTATCGCAGATTTTACGTTTATAGAAATTTTCTATCAATTACTTGAAGCAGAAGCACAGAGCCCTGTTTTTCACCTTGTAGAATCTGGATTTGATTTTAGACCCAGTTAAAATATTAAATACAAGTGAGTTTAGGTTTTTTTTTTCTGATTGAGCTTGTAGTTTTACTGGGTTGAGTCTTAAATTTACATAAATAACATCAATCCTTTGTTCCCTGTATCGTCTCTGTGAGGTTGTATATTGTTACTTTTGTTGTACCTCTTTGAATACAAGTTAAAGATACAATTTTAGTAAGATCTTCTCATTTTGTACCTTCATTCTTCTTTAAATGTTCCTGCCTTTCTCGGATCAGAGTTCTGTTAATTTTGTTGAGATTTGGGACTCTTGCCCACATAGTGGAATTGCGCTTTAGTACTTGAGTCTCTCTCTGCTTCGGGCAAATTTCTTTTTTCTGGTTATAAGCTTTCAAATTCCTAATTATGCATTCAGGTTATATGCCTTACCGGTTGTGCCTAACTGTATACTATAACGGATTAATATTTTGTCATTTGTAAATCTACTGCAGATAGATAAGGCATGGCAGCAGCAGAAGCACGAACTGCATGGCAGTGTAGAGCAAACTGTCGTTTTGTCCAAGAAGATGTGAGGATCGCTCCAAGATTTTCTTCCTTTCCGTCATCATCTTCATCAAAAAAAGCTGAATCTGATAGTGCACCTGAGAATGCTCCAGAAGGGATTGATCACTTCACACCAGGTTGCGTGCCTTATAACCCAAGTTCTGAACTGGCACCCAACACTAAGTGGTGGTTGAACCTGGAACCCAACTTTGGGCCTCAGAAGGAATTCACGTATGAACAACTAAAACTCCTTGAGGCTGAACTTGAAGATCTAAACTCTGGATTTGTTAATAAACCTGCCATTATTAGTGACTATTATCAGTGCAACGGCGTAATTAGAAATCAAAATGATATAAAAAGTACTGTTGATTCATTTGTGGAGCAGCCATGCAAGGTTTCTGTCACTTGTACAAAAAATGACCAGAGTAAGGGAATGCAAGAACTCAAGGCAGAAACTGGTAATGATCCTCAATTACCTAAGAAAAGGGACCCAGGGGAGTTTTGGTACTCAGATGATCATCTCATGAACTTGGATTCTTTCAACTGCTTGAGCTATGAAGAACCCAAGAAACTGTCTTCCGGTTTGGAATCCCAGTGGGGGGGAACTGAGAAAACTGAACCATGGTGGCGCTCTGCGGGTAAAGATGAGTTGGCTTCCTTGGTTGCTCAGAAGTCACTTGAACATATTGAGAATTGTGATCTTCCACGGCCCCAGATTAAGTATCGTAGAAAGGGCCCTTCTGCTTTCGACCCTAATCCATCAATTGATCAGATGGCTGAATTGGGTTTCTCCAATATGGACACTTATACATGGGGAAGCTTTACTTCAGGTCACTCAACACATGAGTCTGACAGTCCATCAAGGTATTTTTATATCTTTTACTTTACAACAGCTTTTTCAGTTGCCCACTATCATCTGGTATTCATAGAGCATTCATATTATATGAATCACATAAATTGCAAACCAATTAAAGAACTTTATGGTCTAAGTTTCATGAGGATTGAGGATCAATATGTTAATTGTATATTATTTTCCCTCTTATATGAAAGGAACAATATATTCTTTGTATCGTTCTTAAATGCTTAGTTTAATTCTGACAAGCTATATAATTTGTTTCATTTCCAGCCAAAACAATGATTACGTTACAATCAGCAAGGATGAGGTTGCAACCCAAAATAATGCAGAAGATGATCGAAGTAAAGCTGAGCTGTTGGAAGCTTTGTGTCATTCTCAAACGCGAGCGAGGAAAGCTGAGGAAGCAGCACAGCAAGCCTATACAGAGAAGGAGCACATCATCACTCTGTTTTTGAAACAGGCATCACAACTCTTTGCCTACAAGCAGTGGCTCCAATTGCTGCAACTTGAAAACTTATGCCTCCAGCGTAATAGTAAAAAAGAACCAATTTCCGGGCTCTTTCCAGCTTGCTTTCCTTGGTCCCCATACAAAGGCAGGCACATGAAGAAGGGCCAGCGCAGGGCTGGAAAGAGAAGTGGCAGACCAAGGTATGAGATTAGCAAGGGTGCTGTTGCTTTTGCACTGGGATTGGGCCTTGCTGGTGCCGGTTTGCTCCTTGGATGGACAATGGGGTGGTTGTTTCCTACTATTTAATCTTGATGCTTGTCAGTTGGTAGCTTGCTTGAATGGTATTTGCTCTTGGTGATGTGGCTGGGTTACATAGGATTGATACACGAGATTAGTAACTTTTTTCATTATCTCTAATAGTACGCATCGACTTGTTCAGATTTGTTAATCCTGTAAATACCAGAACTGGTTTTTTTGTACAAAGATGTAATTAATTATGCACATGTATGTAACCATGTAATCATGCGTATGTAACCAATCTTTATTTCATGTGTTCCCTTCTACTTGTAGATTGTCGCCTTTTGTGAATGTTTCAGTTTGAAATTGGTTGTTCAGAATTTAACGAAAGCTACTTAGTGCAGATTCTAAATCCCGAATCATGTTCAAGAACCAAGATTGAAACACGCACATGTGATACATAATACAAAATCATAGAACCACATTTGCCATGTGAGATATTATTGTTGGATAGGAACAACGAACGAGGCTGGACCTTGTCACCATCACTCTAAACCGACCATACTACGCAGAATCAACCACCTTATATCTGCCACGATTTTCCTTCCAACCACTCATTATCCGAAGAGAAAAACAAAACCACAGACCAAACACTCCTCCTTGGCGTTGTTCCAAAATTTGGATTGAAGTTTCAAACTTTTGTTTTTCTGTCAACAAACCCACAAGTCCAACAACACTTGATAAGGCACTTTTATGAAAAATGTAAGTGTAGATTAAAAATACACAAGAATTTAGATTACTAGCATCTAATCTAAACACTGTTTATTTGCACTGTTGCCAATTGGTAAAGGTCATTGAGTTGACAAAGGGAATTCAAACTTCTGGAATAAGTGCTTTGAAAACCGAAGGCGTCTCTTGTTTGACTCGCATCATTGCTTTAATAATGCCCCTAATTACTGTTTGCTCCTTAACCTTTTAGCTTTTGGGGTCTAATTACATGATTGATTAACAAGATATAAGGGTAAAAAGGACCCATCAAAAATAAATTTGTCTAAAGAAAGTGACAAATGAACCCACGAATTGTTCTTAAAGTAACATTTTAATATGAGATTAGTTAACAAGTAGATTTGAAAATGTGAACAATGCCATTGTGCACCCCAAAGAAAAAAATAAGTATAAATAAACAAAAGCATACATATGCTTAGTGTCTTCCCCCCACTTTTATTGGCTGAGTTTGTTGACTTTGACCCCATCCGGCTTAGCGGACTATTCCACTACATGGCAACAGCCGCCCATTTTTTGCCACGTATTCCCGCCGACCTTCTAGACCATATTAAAGGATACACCCAGACCCAAAACATAGCCATATTCTCATGTTCGTTTCCGGCATCTGAACGAAACGCAGATTGTGCCTGACCTCCCTGCCTTTCTCTAAAACCTCTTTCACTCGTTCGTTCATCATCAAGACGATGCCGTATTGCGAGGTCGGGTCGCGGCAGAATGCCACTGGCGACAAGCTCAACAATGGAATCCAAATTTTCTATAGAACCTACGGTCAGGGACCGACCAAGGTCCTCCTCATCATAGGTCGCCGATCAAGATTCAATCTTTTCTTATACAATATTAACTTTTGATATTTTACGAACTGAGTTTTGGTCGGAGTTTTCTGGGTTGTTGATAAATTTGCAATGGATTGTCAGGATTGGCGGGGACTCACGATTCATGGGCCCCACAAATCCAGGGACTGACAGGGTCCGTTACACCCAATGATGATGATGAAAGGAGGGCCGCCGATGGCTGTGACAATGAGGCTGGTTTTAGTGGCGGTGGGATCGAGGTCTGTGCCTTCGATAACCGTGGTATGGGTCGGAGCTCCGTGCCCACCAAAAAATCCGAATATACGTGAGTTTCGTTACTTCATTAATTTGAAAAAGTCAATTTTGTTCTAGCTCTATAAAATCCATATTGAATTTTTTTTTTTTAAAGATTGCTTTTTCTCAGTATGGAACTGGGTTAGTTAAAGCCTTCTCATCAATGCACTTTATGAAACCTATTGGCTAGTTCAGTTCTCTTTTTTATGGAATTTGATAAAAAAACTGATTTACATTTATTTTGTATTTGAAGTTTCCCATTAATTAAACTTCTGTCAAACCTACTTATTTAAGAGAGTTTAGTTGAATTATGGTATCTAGCTGTTTTGTTGCAGAACAAAAACAATGGCAAAGGATGCAATTGCTCTGATGGATCATTTAGGCTGGAGAGAAGCCCATGTTTTCGGGCATTCCATGGGTGAGTCTATGATTCTGAGGTTCCTTGCAAGGTTTTTGCCAGTCTATGATTAAGTTAATCCTGGCTTTTGGCACTGAGTCACTTACTGGATGACAAACAGTGAGCTGAATTTTCTTTGTAGCAATACTTTTTTTTTTCGTTTTCCGCATTTCATTTGAATTCAAATTCTTTAGTCTGACTTGAATTGTACTACCACAACAGGAGCTATGATAGCCTGCAAATTAGCAGCAATGGTGCCTGATAGAATTTTGTCATTGGCTTTGCTTAATGTGACTGGAGGAGGTTTTGAATGTTTACCAAGGGTTTGTATATATCTTGTCATTGCTGCATTAATTTTTTCTTTTACCAAGCATTCTCCTATGACAAGAGAGTTAATTATGCTCACTGCCCATGAAGTTGAAACAGTATATCAGTTTGCAGTTGAAGTTGACATTTTTCTCATTGATATGTTCAATATTTTGCAGCTTGACCGACACACATTATCAATTGCTGTCCGTTTCTTAAGGGCAAAGACTCCTGAGCAAAGGGCAGCTGTTGACTTGGACACCCACTACTCCAAGGTCCAAACTGCTTTGCATTCTATCATTTTGCTGTCTGTTAACTCTGCATCAATAATCAGTGAATGAAAAAGCGGCTTTCTCACACATTTACTCTATTAATGTGCAGGGATATCTTGAGGAATATGTTGGATCCAACACGAGAAGGGCAATTTTATATCAAGTAAGCCCTTAAAATTTGCGATAAAATTCAAAGAAAAAAATTGCGGTATTCATATCTGTGAATGAGAATCACAAATATGTTACAAGGAGTATTCCAGCAACTCGTCTAGGGAATCTGTTTGATATCATTATAAGGAACTTTTTTGTAAAATAGGAGGATTAATTTGGGATCTGTAGTTTGGAGTTTTCAGATTTAAAGGAACTAACTTCTTATTGAATTATTTTGATATTTAATTATTGCTGGCAATGGGTTCAGGGTTAACTTTAGTATAATTGTAGCATAAGATCCATTACCTGATCTAGAACCTGTTTCCAGGAATATGTAAAAGGCATATCAGCAACTGGGATGCAGTCTAACCATGGTTTCGAGGGTCAAGTCAATGCATGCTGGACGCATAAGATGAAACGAATGGAAATAGAATTGATCCGCTCTGCAGGATTTCTTGTTTCAGTCATTCATGGAAGGTGCAGTCATACATACTATGCAGTGCATTTCAGATGTCATTTCTTTTTCTTCTTCAAGATAGGACTATCAGTTGGGCTGGAATTTGTATGCCTACAAAAAGGCAATGGTTCATATGTACATTTCCGGCTCTGAATAAAAACTATCATCTCTGTAATGAAGTTTTTAGATGGAACTTGTAAATTGTGATTTTCCATTTCATTGCATCACAATTCTTTGAAAAACCAACTTGACATTCATTAAATTTACAGGCATGATGTCATTGCTCAAATATATTATGCAAGGCGACTGGCAGAGAAGCTGCACCCTGTTGCTAGAATGGTAGATCTTCCTGGAGGGCATCTAGTGAGTCATGAGAGGACGGAAGAGGTATGTTTTCCTTGTGGTAGATTTGAATAACAAAGTAGGTCATTATTTACAAGATTATATTGTAATCAGTGATATGATTCATTTATGCTCGACAGTGGAAATGATTTGCAACTTTAATTTATTACACATATCAGGTCAACAAAGCTCTTATTGAGTTGATCAAGGCATCAGAAGCAAAAACAGAGCCACATGATTGGACAAATTTGCCTGAAAAAAGTTTGGGTAAGCAATTCAACTTAAAAGGAACTGTTATCTCACTATTCTGTATGATAGCATGTATTAATGGACAGCATGCCTGCTGTGTTTTGTGAATTTGTGCTAATATATGCTTTCGTTTACAGGGTGGATGGCTACAAGAATGTCGCTAATCAGAAAAAGAACTGGTGAAGGGAACAGTGTATCTTTCATGTGCAATATGTTCGAAAAGCTACATCTTTGCCTCTTATACCTCTTTGGCCTCTTTGCATTGGCATTTGAGAATGCAAGGAGAACTTTCAGAAGTATGAAACCAGCTAGAATTGGACATTCCATCACATAGGCTGAGACAAGATAGCCACTAGACCAACATGTTTTACTGGTAAATTACTTTATTTTTCCTTCAAGAGTTCATTTAATAGACCAAGTGAAGTTCAACAATTGACATTGTTGTTACTTTCAACAGGGGTTTATCAATTTTTCATTTTGTTGGCAATTTGGCACTGCCGAATGTATTTAAGCGGTTGGCGCTCCCAAGTAAATGTGGTGAAGAGTTCCCACTGCGAGTATAAGCCAGAATTTATAGGCAATACAGACATGTTGCAGATGGAGGCAGGAATGGAGAGAGATCACAAGGGCCAATATTTAGGCAGATCCCAATCCTCATTCACTTGCAACATACGATGCTAATTCATCCATTTATTATTTGTACTTTACCACAACGAGTCCTTACAAATGGCACCTTTTACAGAACACAGATTAAGCCTCCAGAATGAGAGGGAAAAATAATAGGGGGTTTTCTATTTGTATCCATCTTTCTGCTATTGTATCAACTTTCCCTGCAAAAAGTTCCCATTTTACATATATATTATTTCAATTTTTTAAATTTCAAGTACATTCATTCTTGCATCCCACCTCTAAAGACTTTGAATTAAGCAAAATTTTGGGTGTTGAACCTCGAAACTCAAGATCTTTGCATATGATATGGATTAAGATATCAAACTTTATACAGCCAATCAGCAGCATCACAAGTTTACCTCAAACAAACATATATATTGAGATAAGGAACGGATATCATGCATGCCTAGTAAATTCTTATGTTTATCATACATGCCTTTGTTCAAAAGAAAGCAGAGCATCAAAGCGAATATCATTTTAAGACATGTCGTATGTACTTATGTTCATAAAGAAACAGTAAATTTTAAGGAAAGCAGAGCCTGCAAATTTGTATGTATAAACCGCACGACAGAATTTCATGGACAATTCTCAACCCTGGAATTATTATACGGCAGAAACATATAAACTATAAGAAAAAAAGAAGCAAAACCCAAGTTTAGATATAAGAGATAGAGAGAGAGAATACGTGCCTGGCACTTGCAGGTGTCTGAGAGATATATCAGAGCGTTGTATGTGCTCTTTGCTTTGTTGAGAAGGTAACCAAAATAAAAGAAAGAAAGAAAGAAAGGTTTGGATGGCGAGGGAGATGCTTTGTTGTGCTGAAAAATATACCATCTTCTCAACTCTGATGAGCAACTGAGAGTTATATAGCATGGCAGATATACTACTCGAATATACCAATATGCCTTGCAAGTAAACCTCAACAACCTAATTTCTGTAGTTTTCTCCCACTACTAAGGGTAGTTGTGTCATTCGAATACCCCACCCAATTCGTTAAAATTAGGGATCAAGCACGTGACAGAATTACCAGCAGAGTCTTCATTTTACTTCCAAACCTCCAAACGCAGCGTTTTGTTCATCTTGAACCCGATAAACCCCCGACATTTTGCTCATCCTTTCCAACTTCTCAGCTCCACAGGACTATGGCTGCTGTAGCTTCTGACAAGGCAGATGGCCAAACCCAGCGGGAATTTAACTGGTTATACTCTCTCCCTTTCCTCTCTTATATTTCAATATGTAATTTTGTTCTGGTTCTGTCTTTTGGCGTCTCTTTGCTTTTTGTAATTTAAGTCAACAGTTCAACTGGGTTTTTCTGGGTTTTGATTATCTTCCTCTTTCAAGCACATAGGGACCAAAAAGTAAATATTTTTTTTAATGATTTAATGATTTTCCATTATGGGTCACTTTGTTCCTATCACGTATCTGTTAAAAACATTAGTTATGGTGATGTAGTTCAAGCTGAATTTGTTTTTTTCTCATAAAGTTGCCTTCTTGATTATCTGTTTCGATGAATCTCAGTGTGTAGTCTCTCAGGTAACTTCCAAGTTTTTCCATTTTTTTCTTCTGCTTTTATGTATGTGTAGCTTGTATGCTTGCTTTTATGGTCTTTTCATCTCATCCCATTGAGCTTCTCTGTTATGTGTTCCCCATTTTTGTAATATTAATATAATATTTGCAGGCTGTAGCTTTTTCTTCCATGTTATATCCGAACTCATGTGTTCCTTACAGTTTTGCAATATGCACAGTAACCGGGCATAATGAGATTCATCATTGGAAGACATATTAAATGTCTTGGAGAAGTTGAATTGGTCCTATATTTTCAACATTTCGCTTCAGTTTTAGATTTTTCTAATTTATGATTGGAGCTAACTTGGGGGGATTCATAGGTGCTAATATGTGGTTTTCAGCATTGTTAGGGAGGAGTTCTAGAGCTCCTAATTAGGTAGGTAGATCAAGATATGCCGAGGTTAACCCTCTTTAAGAAAATTGGGTGAGGTTTCTGAGATTGCTCTAGATATTTTTTAGAATACACTTTAAATGAGAAAATTGTCATTTGAAATTTTCAAAACAGCAGTCTCTCTTTTTGTACCAAATTTGCATCAAGGACTACAGTACTATGAACAATTGAGTGACCTGGTAAAGTTTTCCAATGGTTGTGCTTCTATGGGAAGTGGAGATCATTTATCCAACTTTCATCATTTACAATCAGTCTTTGAGAATTCTTTAACCCACAGGGGAATATTGTTATCTTAGATTGAAATTTTGTCTGCAGTGACTTGGAGGTAGATTATGAGTCTGAGGAAAGCGCTTCTATTGTCTATGCAGCATTAGCTGTTGATAAGGAGGTGATTTTTCATATGCTTAATCTATGTCTTGCTTACTTCAATAGTGATTCAGTTAGCATCTTATCTGATTCCATTTATAATTGCAGTTGCAACCAGATAAGGTGAAGAGGCAGATGTCAGTTTCTAATGGAAAGCTTTCAGTGTAAGCAAATTTCTTTCTTCGTGAGCCTTAATTGTTCAAACTTTTGTCGAAGAATGATTTTGATAGTAATGTTTCTGATGCAAGAAAGTGCTATATCGGAGAGGGGGAGTAACAATATTTTTCTTTCTGCCTATTTATTTTCTACTGAATCTGTGGTGGTTGTTTTTATCCTATGTACAGGCACTTTGAGGCTGTTGAGGCAAGATTTCTTCGAGCATCATATAGTGCATTTGTGGATGTATTGACACTTGCCACAAAAACAATTGAAGAATTCGGAAAAGGAATGGAATTGTGACCATGAAATGAGCTGTAATGTAGCACAATGAGTCAAAAGTTGGTGTTTGTGGAACTTTTCAAAGCATGAATTGTAGTTTGATTTTTTAGCTTCGGACCTATAAGATATCTGGAAAGAAGGTTGTCGTTCTACAGTATACTACTTGTGATTCAGTGTTGTCCTTTAAGACCACTTTCATCCATTTGCCATGGCAAAAGGTAAGGGGAGGTAAGGGCAATTACTGTTTATGTGAATAGTGACTGCCTTAGTAATTTTTTTGATGCATTTCTACCCCTTGCCATGGCAACCACTATTCATGTGAGATATGAGGAGAGGAATTTGTATAAGAGTTTTGGTGTGGGAAGGGAAGAATATGGCTAGGTATTTATAGAAAAAAAATTCTGGTTTTTTTCCCTTCTGTCTTCATTTTTTTGGGTATTTAAATTGGTTGCAAACATCACAATTATGTCAACGTGAGGTCAGCTTGCTTAGGCAGCAGCCCATGCAAGTCTTGTGTTTGGGCTTGCCTAGGCTAGTGGAGCCCAGCACTTGCCCTATCAAGCCTTGGCTGCTGGAAACGGGATTAGGGGCCGAGGGGGCCTCTTGCCCGGGCTAGCCCCTCCCGCTGGAAATGCTCTAACCGAGCTTTTAAATGGGATTTCTGGGGTGACTTCAACTTGGTTTGCAGCGGCAATGAAGTTCATTTGTTCACGATCTTATGCACTGCAATCTCAGCATTGCAATTTTTACCTAGAATAAAATCTCAACCGCACATGAATTTTTGTGAAGTTGCCGACAGATTAGGCCATTTAAGGTGGCAACTAAACGACAACGTAGTTCCTCCCAACATAACATAGTGGTACAGAGAAGCTTTTCTCTTTCTTTCAAACTTGTTGCAGCTAATGTCGTCTAATGATTGACGCTAAAATGCATTACCCAGCAAACTTCTGAAATGATATATAACATTTGATATATAATGTTTATAAGATTTCAAAAACATACATTGCTTTATAAAAAGAAAAGGAAATCAAACAAAGGGTAAAGCTGAAAGAAAAACTATGCAGTAATTTTCTGCTTCCAATGTCCATTCTCAGTATTCGTCCAAGTAAGTGTATAGCATGTCGTCTTTCTTTGACTTGCGCCGGCTAAGCAGGGCTTTGAGGAGGCGTTTACTTTTGCTGGGGTATTGTTCAACCTCTCTTCCATTTTCCCTTTCAGCATGTAATCGCATTGAAGCTGATTTACGAGGCTCCGAAGGGTACTGGCATATGCATAAACATTTTACTTTATAAGTATCTCTATAGAAGGGAATGGAGGCAAGTATATGAACTAGTGAAAATGCAGGTAAAGTCAATCCAATTCCCACACTCACCCGTCGTCTTGCATTAGAAGGATTCGGAGTGGTCGGCCTACTTGAGTTTGGGGTAGTTGACTGACTTTTGTTCGGGGTCGTTGGCCTACTTGCAAGAGATCCAGACCGTAAAAGTGGAAACCGATGAGGTGAAACTGTTCGCTTCTCTGATTCAACAGTAAACAGCATCATAGTCAGATTCTAAATGGCCAATTCATTATAAAGGTTTCAATATCACAATGGCTAACAAGCATACGCACCTAATTCCTTTTTGGGCATGGTAGATGTAAAAGAAAAAACTCCAGGCCGCTGGGAAGGTTGTGGAGAAGGAGATGGAGAACGCCCTTTGCTGCACAATGCAGGACCAAGATTATCATATGATCCTATATGACAGATTAACCTGGGTTACAAGCTTGGTTCAAACAAGTGCTGCAACAATATTTACCTGACCGTAGGTGGGGGGGTTTCTCCAATGGTAGCACGAACAGCTTTTAGGAATCCAATCAGATTACAACAAGAACAAAGTTATGTTAAACAATTGCTTACTTATATGCATTGAAACAAAATGGAAGATAAAGCATGGTACCATTCCGAAATTGATGCCATTCATCTTCATCATCTAGGTTGCAACCTTCGTATTTGGATTTAGTTTTGTTGGCACCACGCATGGTCTCACCAACTGAACATGAATTTAAGTTTTAAGAATTATCTCTTAAAAGCGGACAAAAATTACAAAATGGGGAGAGTGCTTAAAGTAACAAAAAATATATTGAGAGGAAGCTGAGTATTTGCCTGGCAAGATGTACCGCTTGTGGTATTTCGGAGTATCTATCACTGATGACTGTTGGGAAAGACCCTCATGATCAATATATTCTTGGCATGTCCTTAGCCTCTAACGAACCACAAAAAAGAAAAGAAAATTGTCAGCGTCTCTTAAGTATTGGTTTCTTGTGATTGAAAAACATAACTAGAAATTAACGGAGTTGAGTATGGTCTATGGTGCAGTAATTCACACAATGTTGTTGAATCGACTTTGGGCTCTCCTAAAAGGAATTACTACTCCTTGCTGTGTAGCATAAGAGTTTCACTGAAATTAAAATACCCACCAAACAATAAAATGTGATCTGGGAAACATTTGTCATGCAAAACTTTTGACTAATAAACTATGAACCTGTAGAAGAAGTTGGCTTTTTAGCAGACCAACAATTGAAGCAGGTATATCATGTGAGCCAATCTACATGGAAACTTAATTATCCTCTACCAAACCCAAAAAAGCCAGTTTCCACTGATCTTTTAAATAGAAACAGACATCAGACAAGCTTGTTCAAGATTTCTTTTATATAGATAGCCCTGAATCAGAAGTGTCTACCGGATGACTGACAATGGCATTACTTTAACAGTTTAACCTTACCTGTTCAATGCAAGATACCCGAAATTCTGTGCCGGAAACTTCATCCACTTTTTCATCAAAGAAATCATTAACCTTATATGTCACAGAACCCAAATGGTCCACTGTATTCACGAGAGCTTTAATGGCATAATCTTTCAATGTTTCTACCACTCTGCATAATAGGAGGGAATTTTTTTTCTTCTTTTTAAAATAATGACATAAAAGAAAAGAAATATTTATGAAAAACCCAAACTTCCACGAGTCAAAATAACTCACATATGTTTCTGGTCATCATTTGTGTATGATAGTTCAAAGTACTCTGCCGCTGAATATAATTGTGTTCTCAAATTCTTCAAATCCTGAAAAAGTAATGCAACGCGCAAGCAAATCATAGAACTTCAGTTGCAAGGGTCTCTGACTGAAAAAATTATAAAACTCTACAAAGAGATATTTCCACCATCACAAACTAACTGCCCTCGGATTCCGATATTTTTGATTGAGGTATACAGAAAACCAAAGATTTGATTTTTCCAGATGATTAATTTAAACCCCCTGTACATTTCATTGAACTCGCAAAACTAAGAACCAACTAACAATAATCTTTAAGCAGAAGAGTAGTACCTTGAGACTATCAGAGAAGAGCAAGCTCTGATGCATAGAAACCTCATCAAAATTAGATGCTACTCGTGGGACGGGCATACTAGATGTAGTCATTGTTCCCATGAGCATAAACGTGGAAAGTGAACTAAGATTTCCTTATGCTGCAAACAATCATGATAAGAACTTAAAAGACTAGGCCAAGTAGGGGGTCAAAAAACCCAACAGCAAGAACACATGAGGTTATAGTGAGGTAATGCACAACTCAGCATCCAAAACCCATGAAAAATCTGAAATCACCTCCCCCCGAAAAGAAAAAAAGAAAACAATGTGTGTAGGAGAGAGCGAGAAACGGAGGAAGAGTGAGGTTATGCACCAATAAAAATCCCATTTCAATTTTTAATTTTTAAACTGATTAAGCAACACCAAGTGTGTGTGTGTGTGTGTGTCTGCGCAAGAAAGAGAGGAGAGCGTCTCCTTTAACAATTAATTAATAAAATACCAGAAGCTACTATTTTAATTAGACAATAGCCGTGCCAGAGATAAAAAGAATATATGGGAATAAGAAAATGAACAGCATAAAGATAGTGCTTTGCCACATTTCCGCAACCATTTCAGACAGGAAAATCAACAGAAAAATATACTAAACACTTGAAAACACATAAAGCTCATTTTATCTGCATTTCACCAACAATAAAAGCTGTCAAATTTCAGTACCATCTCTTTTATTGTTGAGATAATCGTTGGTTTTCATGCTTTTCTTGTTCAAATAGGTAATGCTGGAAAGGAAAAGGAATAGTAAATTACATAAAGAGGGTGACTGACATCACAATCCTAACAAACATCAAAATCTGCAAAATTTCACAACTTTTTCTTTTTACAGGAGGAAATCCTGGAAATGAAAAGCAATTGAATGCATTATGCCTTTTCAAAGATAAGCTCACCTCAACCAACCATGAGCAGTTGCATTAGCCCAGTTGAAAGTTGTTCTTTTCTCCGGTCATTTTGTTCTCTCTCAAACAGCGTAACAAAAATCTAAAGGGGTATATTTGAAAGCAAGCTAACCACTAACCTTAGTGAATGCTCTTCTGGAGCTGAAAGCGCAACTACCCAGAAGTCCAAAACCCAGTAACCGCCTTCCCAATTCGAAGCAGGAGTATGTGAAACCTAAATGGTGAAGAAGAAGGGCAAAGTAGAAAATAAATAGACAGGCCACTGGTTGACAGTGACCACTATGGTTTGGTATAAGATTTGACTAAAGCACAGAAAACGACAACTCTAGTTTGGGAGATTCAAATACCATGAGGACTAGAAAAACAGCACAGGACTTGCGAAAAGAGAGAGAGAGGGAGAGGAGGGGACATCCATCAAGGCGAGCACGTCTGTGTGTAGGCAAGGAATCTGAGGCACTTCGATTTCAGAAGATTTTTAAAGAGAGCAAAAGTCTGTCCTTTTGGTAGCAAGAAGAACAGGTGATTAATTTAGGCCTCCCTTTCCCTCATCATTAGCCACTTAGTGGGTCCTACTTCCTTGGTGTTTTTTAAAACATTTCTTGGTATCATTGGGTCCCACTGTCTCTAAACACAAACAGTGACCACACCCAAAAATTGGAAATTGCAATGTTGTTTTTATCCAGTTCAATGTTGTTGAGCCTCTATGTTGGGTCTCCCTCCCTCCCTCCCACTTGTTATTGTTGTGGTGGTGTGGTGGTACCGTGGTAGAGAAGGAGAGGGTTCATGGGTTCCACTTTCTTCTCAGAAATGGTTTGAAACGTTGAAAGCTTTGGGCTTTGTGGAAGTTCCCATCAAACATCAAAACCTCTAGCCTTTCTTCTGTTTCTTGGCCAACCCATACATTATACATACATGATAAAACAAAACAATGGAGTGGAATTGGATAAGAGAAGATGTTGTGGTTGTGGTTGTGGACAATGGCTGCTCTGCTGAATTGGCTACAAAATTGCTTTTCAATCTAGTGGGTTGAAAAGAAAAGCACATGTCAAAAGACCACGCCATAGATAGATGAGTGGAGTGGGCATTACATAATATAAATCAAAGGCGTGACCTTGGAGGCACTCATGCTGCCTGGATTTGAACGCGCAATCTAACATTAAACAAACTCATCAACAACGACATGCATCATGTATGTAGATAGAAACAGAGAGGAAGAAGAAGAACCCCACCACCACATAACATCATTTCGGACTTCTGAGAGTCTCCTCCAGTTCCAAATTTCCAATGCACCAAATCTCAATTGATCAACGGTTGATGATGAGACTTCAAAAATCATATCATATGGCTCCACCGTGGGAAACCACTACCGTGGAACACATGAAATGAAAGGTGTTGACTGATTTAGAGCAGTTAGCTAATGAGCAGAAAAACTTGTGTGAAACAGACATAGCACTATTTTGCTATCTTCAATCAATTATAGACTGTCACGTGGAAAAAATTTATCATGACTGGCATACAGTGATTTATTGAGGATAGCATAACAATGCTATCTCCATTTTACGTTTCTCACTAATGAGTGTATGGATCCCACTGATTTTCTTTTTCTTTTTCTTTTTCAAAACAAAAGCTGTTTTTGGGGTTTGGAGTTGTTTCAGCTTTTTTCTTTGGGAGTGAATCCGTGATTTTAGCGTAACTGGTTCCCAATAATTTATAGTGTGATCAGTGGCGTGATTGGTGGCAATTGTCATGTAGAGTCGTAAGAAGAAGACCAACACAATATGATTCACCTTTTTTGTTTTTGTTTTTTTTATTGCAGGAATATGATTTACCTTTTTCAGAGTCCTGAGACCTGCTGCGGGAGGACACAGGTCCTTGGGCTGCACACACCCCTACCCCCCAAGTGCAATGAATCCCAGCAGAGCAGAGGTTGGCCCACTTTTGATTGAAAGAAGCCCATCTGAACTGAAAATTGTGAATTTTGATGGATAAAAGCCCAAACCAAAAATAGAATTCAACAATCCAGTCCAGAGTTATTATTTTGATAAGATAATGAACTAATGTTTAGTATAGATAAACAATAGCCAAATCCATATACAAAGACTCCACCACCTCCTGGTTGGTAGTACTGGTTCCCTTCCCGTTCTCCTATTATTATTGTCAATCAGACTCTCTCAGTCTTTTTTAATTGATTCATGATCGTTTCTCAACTCTCATCGAAGAGTTGTCAACTTATATTACAAAAAGACTTGGGGACAAAAAAGAATCATCTCGATCGTCAATGCTAAAACGCCATATTCATATTACTTTTCTTTCCATTTTTGACCTGCATGATAATTAAGAGATTAAACAAAACCTTGTGCATACATAAAATGCCCTGCGGGTACAATTTGGATTCAGTTGTGTTGTGTCTTAAATTTGGTTTCGGAAAGGGTTTCTGCCACTCGAATGCTCCTTGTTCCCTTCTCTCTGTCTCTGCTCCGCCCTGTAAACTCAAAACCTTCTAAACTAGCAGTCAATTGAGTTATTATGGGTAGCATCACAGTAGCTGCAGATCCTGAGAACCAGACAGACAAAACAGATGGGTTAGTTCTTCTTAATTTACATTAAGAATTCAAACTTTTCTTCTTCTTCTTCTTCTTCTTCTTCTTCTTTTTCGCATAGAAAAATGTTTGTTGTATCAACTAACTATCAAGCTTATAGGACTTGTATGTGCAGTGGCTTTGGCTGTCACTTGTAACTATGAATAATGCATGCAGAACCTTAACTCATATCATATATATGAATCTGATGCATTGTCATTGTTTACGCTTTTAATATTTCAAGCCAAGTATTCAATTGATTTAAGAAAAGCCGCCCTATATTTTGAGCTTCTTCATTCTGAGTCTGATGGGTGCAATTTGTTATTTGCTTTTCCAGACCCGTTAAAAAGCGGATGCATGCCACAATGAAGAAAATATGTAATCCAGAGGGGCAATACCGTCATATATGGAATACGATATTTGTAACATCATGTGTGTTTGCTGTCTCACTGGACCCTTTGTTCTTTTACATTCTAATCATCGATCAACAAAACAAGTGCCTTCAAATGGACACAATGTTGCAGACTGTTGCTCTTCTTTTACGATCATTCACAGATATCATTTTCTTGGTGCATTTCATATATGAAATCTGTGACGGTGTCAAAACTCAAAGGGATAAAAATTTGGCCTCAAATACCCTAATTAAAAATATAGCCCTGACCCCAAATACCCAGAAAAATGGACCTTCCACCAATTCCAAGGTACCACCAAGTCTAACAACTGGATCTAGAGGACATTCGGGTTCCAAATCAAAAATGACGGAGTTCATTCGAGTTGCCAAGGAAATAGCTCACAAGATGTCGTGGTTATCTGCCTCCATCGTAGTTGACTTTTTCGCTCTTCTTCCCATCCCGCAGGTAAAACAAGACAACTTTTAGCTCTCTCCTTAATTATATATTAAGATTACACCTAGCTGTAATTAAACCACTTCTGAGTTCTAACTTATTTTTATTTATTTTCTCCAGCTGCTAATAGTAGTTACTTTTTACAATATGAGAGGCTCCCCATATTTGGAACATAGAAAGGTTCTCAACATCTTTCTCCTTGGTCAATATATACCAAGAATATTCCGAATTCACCTATCGTCCAATCACCTCAAAAAGACTACTGATATATGGATTAAAAGCATATTCAATTTCTTTCTCTACATTCTTGCAAGTCATGTAAGTTAATTATTTCACCTCAATTGTCATTTCATTTTAATTATTTGGTAATTTCATTCATAAGAAATTTGTTAACTTTTAGATACTCGGAGCTTTTTGGTACTTCTTTTTTCCATTCAACGAGAGACCTCATGCTGGCACGAGGCCTGTGTAAATCATAGTGCAGATCCCATAGGATGTGTGAATACTTTCTACTGCAATGGTCGAACTGCTACTTCAAGAAATATCACATTTCTGAACGAGCACTGCCCGTTAGATACTTCGGATAGTGCTTTGCTGCAATTTAATTTTGGAATATTTCTTGATTCCCTTAAGAATCAAAACACAGAGCATATAAAGTTTGGACGGAAGTTCTTTTACTCTTTTTGGTGGGGCCTGCGAAATCTAAGGTTTGCACATAATGTACATTATCAATCAACAATTTTTATAACTAATGAGTAAAAAGTTGTCTAGCACAGCAACATGAATTGTTTATGTATAAAGTCATCGATATAATCAATTAGCATTTCTGATAATATTGCTTGATATCATTTAACTAAACTTTTTTGGCAGTAACTTTGGCACGAATCTCTCGACAAGCACGTATGTGTGGGAGAACTTGTTTGCAATTCTTATTTCTATCATTGGCTTGCTGCTTTTTTTGTATCTCATTGGAAATCTGCAGGTTGGTATATATATATACGTGTGTGTGTGTGTATTGAATCTCTCTATCTATATTAATTTCATTTTTGAGTCGTCAATCATTTTGCTTGAGCTTAATTTAATTAATTCAGGGCCCATGTTCATCCAATATATAATTAATGTGTGTTTGTGGTGGTGGTGAGACAGACTTTTATGCAGATGGAAGCTACAAAATCAGAGAAGATAAGATGGAAGATTAAGACGAAGAAGCTAGATATACAAAGCTGGATATCCACAAAGGACCTCCCTCCAGAACTAAAGAAAGAAATCCAGAATAACATAAAGCAAAAATTGAAAGAGCACAAAAAAGCTCATCTCCAGAATGATCTATTCTCTATTCTTCCCGTGAAAAATAGAACATCTCTAAGGCGTTGTCTTTGCATGGAACCACTGAGGACAGTATGTTGCTCAACCTCGATCTCTCTGTAAATGAGTCAAATTTTACTTCATATGCCCCATAAATAAATGCTTCCTGTCTGTGTATATTATATACAGGAGTAGGACTAAACTAAAATATGTCGTTCTGATGATATACTGAGCAATGGATTAAGTGTGAAGAGATATCTGTGTGTGATTGTGTGTTTTTATGTACAACGTGCAGGTACCAATGCTTAAATGTATGGATAAAAGGGTGTTGCATTTGATGTGCGACCATCTGAAGCATGTGACGTATAACGAAAATAGCTTCGTTTTTCGGAAGGGAGATCCACTGGATTGCATGCTCTTCATTGTTGAAGGGAATGTATGGACCTACTCGACTGCTGGTGAGAGTGAAACTGGAAAAGCAACCCCATCATCAATGACAATGGCCACCAAGACGCTTGAGAAAGGTCACATTTATGGGGAAGAGCTTCTCAAATGGGCATCAGACAAGTTCACGGAACTTCCAATCTGCCGTCAACATGTCAAAAGTCAGACAAAAGTGGATGCCTTCGTTCTTATGGCCAAGGACTTGGCAACTGTAGTCTCCAAATACCAACTACAGTGGAAACTTAACAATTGTAACAATCCTCAAGAGGTGAAGGAGGCGGCTGCTTCTACCATAGCGCGGCATTTCCGCGATAAGCAACGTGCATTGATGTCTTCATCTACCCCACGCCTCCGCCCGGCTACAGCTGTGGGTACTACTACTGCTGCTGCTGCTGGTGAAAACTCGCCAACAACAGCAATCA